GTGTGTGTGAAGTTATATCTTCACATTCTGTAATTCTGACATATTTAGGTCAAACAAATCTATTAAAATTATACTTCAGAAATAGACCTTTCTAATTAGTCATGACTTGTTATGTAGAATAATGATACTCGTACCCCTCCGTCCGCTCGCCCGGCTCCGCTGGAGGCCCGGGTTGAGGCCACGGAGCCACCGGGCAGAGCCGGGTGCCTCGGCCAACCCGACTTCCTCCTTGGTCGGGTCCCCTGTTGATTTCAGCCCTGGGCAGCACGTTTCCTTCACGGGCCGGAAGTCAAGGTGCTCGAGCCCAGGGATGAACAGCCCCTGAAGAGAAACCCTTCTGCCTTCGTTAGTTGTCGCGCTCCCTAAGTTATTCACACCAGCGCGAAAGTTCGAGGCCTGTCAGGAAAAACTGGTGGAAGTTGCCCTTCCCCCTCGTTTTTCTTTTCCTGGAAATGTACTAATCTTCCAAAACATTCTGTGCAAAAGCGACAATACTACCTATGGATAGTCTGAGTTTCAATGTTTTAAGTTATTAACTAATTCAGCCCTCGGGAATGTTAGCAGTTTAGTTTACATTTTTTTATACACTCCCTACCCCCATCACTTTCTGCAGAGTCTCATTTCTCATCTGTGAATTGAACTGAATCTGGAAACTTTAACATACAGGTTACATGTTAAACTGATGGGGCTGCATTGTGCAGATCGGTTAGCGCATTTGTAACGTCCATCAGAATACAGTGCATAAAACCAGCTGTTATTAGTGTTGTGCTGTGGCACAGGGTACACCACGTGTAGGCACTGTAGAAAAAGAAACTTTGAATACAGTGACAAGGAAAGTCATTTTTATGTTGTTTGTCTTTGGTGTTGTCCGATTCCAGGTCTTAGTGTCCATAACCATATCTACTAATTTGAATGTAAAGGAACGCAGCAGTGAGAGTATTGGTCAAACCTGACTCACTTGGGCCCTTGTTAAAATGTGATGCTAACTTAGTAGATGTGATATTGATACAACTTGGTATTCATTTCTCATGTGGTGCTGGACAAGAAAGATCCTGTTCTATACCAGAGATGTAGATAAGGCCTTATGTAGAGATGGCCTGGTAGAGGAAGGTTCAGTGGCACGGTGAAGTAAAGAAGCTTGCTAGTGGGCTCAGAATGAGCCAGCTCTGGATTTCAGGGGAAGGAAAACAAGTCCAAATCCCATGATCTGTATGTTGTGTGGTGTCTACATCACATTTTTGTTTTGGGTCTTTTGTCTTTTCTTATAATAGTTGGTGTACTTCTTGAAAAATTTGCTCACCAATTCGTTGAGTTTTAGTAAGGCATAGGCTAGGAATCTTGAGTCCAAATGTAATGCTGGGGGAAAGTTTCTTTATTGGCAAAACCCACTGTGTCTGATATCAAGTGTTACCTCAGTTGGGTAGTGTGTTCTTGAGATTTGAAGCATGTTTTTTAAATGGTTGAGAGCCACACAAAGGGTGGCCTAACTGGATTCAGCTTTTCTTTTTTTCATGTAACTTTTGTAATGTAAATGAAAGAGTTTAAATTGTTCCATATAGCTTCTTATGCTTTACATACATAAAAATGGTTGTACTATTATTTTTATGGTACAAGGAATTGAATGTAGAGCCCTTGTACAAGTTAAGTAGTTAAGTTTTAAAGAACTTTATGAAAGTCTAATAGCAACTACTTCCAGCCTCATAACTTTTATAGTCTTAATTTTAGTTATTACTTTACCTTGTTTCTTTATATTCTAAACACATTACATATCTTAATTCACTTTATCTTCACAACTTCTAAGGAAATAGAAACTGGAAGGGTAAATCACATTCCTGGTTTACATAGCTAATACTAAGCTGGGTTTCTCACTGGCTAACTTTGGAATCCTTGTAAATCTTATTAACTTGTAGAACTGCCTTATTATTATTATTATTATTATTATTATTATTTAGAAAGTAAATTGATGAGTTATATTTGTATTTCTGATTAGGAGATATTTTTTCATTTTAAAAGTAAAAATTGTCACTTTTTATTTCCTCTGTTTTCATCTAAAATGAAAAGCCTCAATGCAAAATTGAAAAGCCTCAATGCTTATGCTCCTTTCTGAGTAAGATGAGTAAGATGTACTTGTAAAGTTGTATTTTGCTTGCACTTGTTTGTATATATTTGCTGTCCCGATCTCCTAAGTTTCTTCTGTCACTGCTAAATGTAAAATGTGTCGTCTTTGCTTTGACTTGGGAAATTTTTCAGCCCTTCATGTTTTACCTATGTCTGCTCTCCCTTTACCCCTCATAAATACTTCATACATTAGGCTTTTTCCCCTATACTTTTATCCCAATATTTAGCTTTGGGATATTGATTAAATTTCTTTCTATTTGTCACTTTATATTTGTTTTCTTAATATTTAGATTTAGAATTTAATCAAATTACTGACTTTCCATTTGGTTGTTAAGGGCAATAAAAACTAGCCATTGTAGCAGAATTTCTAAATGGTCTTATTAAATAAAAAAAAA